GTTAACTACATTGAAATTAGTTCTATAATATAATTTTTGACTTGCTTTTATTTGTAAAAGCAGGGGTATTTTTACTTATATTTTGAAACATGTTTAATACTTGTGCATAAGAATAATTTGAAGTTTGAATTGTTTGACTGTTAGAGTTAAGGGCAGTTTCGGTCATAGACATATAGCAACAGTTTGCAGTCATCGATCCTCCAGACCTTTGCTTTGCTGGACCTTCGTTTTGTGGATATTTGTTTTATTCTGGCTGATATCAGTGTAAATAAAGACAGCATTACAGAAGTAAGACTAACCAGCCTGTAATTTCTAGGACAACTATTATCACTCCAATTAAAAGTAGGAATACTAATATCAACTCTCCAATCCTTAGGCACCTGCTCACTGTCTATTGATATCTATATGATTCAGGTCACTTCTAATATTTCCTACAGGGTGCTCAGAGTAAGGACTGTTACTAATATTTTCTATTGTAAAAACACAAGAGAAGAAAACATATAAAAGCTCAGCCATATCACAGCCTTTAACAAAATTCTTGCCATTAGCATATCTTAAGGACACATTTAAACATTATTCATACTTTTTGACATACTTTTATAATACTTGTTATAGATGTTAAACGTTAATAGCTAGATGTTTCTCCTAAGCGCTATTTGATTTCCTAAATTCTTTATAAATTATAGTTATGGTATTTATCCCTGATTTTCTCCCTTATGTCCTAAGCAAATCAATTACGTTTGATTTTTACTATTAGCTTTTACCTAACGATAGTAACATGTCTTAATTAAAAGCAATTTATTTTGGAAAAACAATCCTGTAATTTGTTCCACATAACGTATTTTTTAACTCATTATCCGAATTCGTAAGTGATAAATCTTGTCTAATGGCTTTAACAGGTTTTCTGAAAATTAGGAACTAAAATTTATTATAATTTTTTACTTTTTATCTGAACTTGTATCAAAACCTCAAATCTAGTTATGCAATGATCATTATTCCACAAATGTTCTTCAACTTTAACTCTATTACCACATCTTCATTAGCGGTTAACAACAAATCTCAAATGGCATTCCACCTGGTTGGGTTCCTGAAATCCATTCTGCATCACTTGAAGAAACGCCTGTTCCCCATTACTTTACTCCACATAATTCCAATCAGTATGTCTACAGTTAAATTCTTGAAGGATTATTGTATCAGTATTATTATTAGCAACAACACCTATTTCATTATATAAGTTTTTATTGATATCACCTGTTTGTTCAGATTGCCTATAACAATTACCAATATAAAACTTGTTACATCTTGACTGTCATTTTGTATGTCTACAGTTCATTCTTTATATTAAAATCCATCCCACCTTCTCTTTTAAAAAGCCTCTCACTGTTAAATAGCTTATAACCTGAAACTTCAAAATAATTCCCATTATCAGTGTTCAAATCTAACCAACTTTCTGTAATTCCCATTCTATCATTGTCATCCATTTCAACTTGAGCCTGATGTCATCCATTTCAACTTGAGCCTGATGTCATCCATTTCAACTTGAGCCTGATGTCATCCATTTCAACTTGAGCCTGATGTCATTCATTTCGTCTCTAACATGACAATAGCAACTAAGCATATTCTTGATACTATTATGTTTGTTTTTAAATCTGACAGGCTTATCTTTAAAACTGTTATTTAATATATTGTGCTTTAAATCGTCTACTATTCTCTTTTGTACCATAGATATACTATCAGTCTACATATTTCAAATTCCCAAACCTTCCTCATCTTTATACCATTTTAGAGCTTACCCAGGCACACTGCTACTTACTTTGCTTAAATGAGGCTCATCTCTAGTATATAATTCACCACTTTTCCTTAAGACTGTCCCATAGGTCCAGCTAGCCCACCTGACAATCTTTCAGTTAAGCCTTGGATCTTACTAAGTAGTTCATTCCCGTACATAGTCCATTCTTCTGAAGTTCGTTTTAATATTAAAGGAGTTGTTATAATGTATAATTTTCAACATAATTCCCTCCTACATATAATACAAAAAGAAAATATTACATAGCATCAGCAATTAAACTATCAATATTCTCTATAATGTTATTTATTTTAAAATCTGTCAAACAAGTTCTTGTCCTAAACTTTATATACTCCCCGTTACAAATATTTTTCATTGTAATATACAATGACAGAGGACACTATGCAAATCTCCGGATCACATCCTTCTTCCCCATTTCAAGCAGTCGATTTTAAATTTATTAGAAACTGATACCTGAATACTAATTTAACACACCCCCATGTCTCTAACTTTTGGCAAAACCCAGCACTTTCATTATTTCTATCTCCAAAGTAACTTTTACCTTTGTTTTATAAATTTTTTCTTTCGTTGATTTCTGCTGCTAATCTGTTATCCCCCCTACATCAATACAGTAGTCTTTTCCAAAGCCATCTTTAACGTGCCATCAAGACATTAAGCTCTGAAAGTGTAGTGTACTGAGTCTTCCGAGACTCCTGAAAATCACAGTTGAATCCATAATTCTCAATCATAATTAAATCCTGGCAACTATTGCACTCATAAACTTCACCTCATTTACTTGTACTACCTTTCATCATCCCAATGTTTATTTTGTTAATGATTCTTGTTTATAAACATAGAATATCTTCAAGAAATATTAATGTATAGAGGATCTGATTTTGTATCTTGGCATAGTGAGATGACTTTAAATACATAAAACAGTAAAGAGAAATTAAGCGAAAAAAATGAATTTGTGCTACAAATTCAAATCTGAGGTGAATGCTTATTAGTGTCAAACAGAATATCTAGTTTTAAATTAAGTATTTTATATTCAGTACACGTTAGTTTGTAAACGTTGCGGCCTTATACTCATTGCTAAGTCCACCCTGTAATATTAGTTACTGCATTATTTATATTAAAGTTTATAGAAACAGTTACTAATACCATTATACAAGTGTAAATATAGAATTTCAATAACTATGAATATGCTAAATTAGTTTCTTTATATTTTAATAAGTTTGTTTGTTTGTAGTTTGAGCACAAAGCTACACATTGGGCTATCTGTACTCTGCCCACCACGGGTATCGATACCCGGTGTCGAGCGTTGTAAGTCCGCAGACATACTGCTGTGCCATAATAAGTGGTTGAAGCTATATAAAATATATCTTTAGATGATGTATGCCTCTAGGACTTCAAAGATATGATTTTTCAATTTGATTTCCAGCTCAATTATTTTATCCTTTATACGTTATAAATGAGGTCAAATCCTTTCTTCTGGTGTCACAGTTAAAGAACTATTATGTTCCAGTATTATATAATTATAAAATAATATATATATTTATTTAAGTATATTAAGGTAATTTGTTTTTAGATTTCTGTTCAGGTTTTTTGACTTAGTTAGTGGTGCTCTTGTAAGCAAGATGTAGAAAGATCATAAACATGCCTTAACTCTCTTGCTTAGGCAGATATGACATACAACAACAATTGTTTTGTGGACGGCTTTTCCGTTTTTGTGTCATTTACCCTGGAATAAAGTTGTACTCATGACAAGAGGTGGTATAGATACTTGTATAAGTTAGTATGAGTTGAGGTAATTACTCCATGAAATCATGCAATATGCAGAGGTTGAGTACATCAAATTAAAATAATTTTGGAGTCTCATCAAGATGTTACAGTCCATGTCTGGTCATACTTTATTTGACGATCGTACAAACTGAAAATACCCCTGCAGCTTAGTTTCATTGTAAAAGGCTTCTTCGTAAGGCTGTTATATCCAAAGCACACAACTACTCCTTCTATGCTTTTATTTTCCTTCTAGTGTACAAGCATAATAGTTTCCCAGCGCTTGTTTCAGTAATCCAATTGCACAGAAATCCACAGATACTGCATCTAATGACTTGGCCGCTATGTCTTCATATGGAATAGCATGAATACCAATTTCATTCTCCAGCTGCTTGAGGTATACGATTGTTGATGTATGACTGGAAGCCTTTATCTTGACTAACCCATACTACGTTGTTCTCATTTCCTGATGAAGATTCTTCTTGATTTTTGTTGCATACTGTTGTTTGGGACAGTAGACGTCTTTTGGTACTAAGCTTTGTACTTGTGGATTATTACCTGTTACAAGATGTTGCACTTTTCTTGTAACAGCTGGGGTACAACCCATTGCAAGTCTCTTTATGGGAGGTCCTGGTACTCCAAATTCATCTATATTCCTTTTTTTTCCAAATGCTTTTACATACCTGGCTTACTCCTGATCTGAGCACATTTTTATGATCTATGTATGTAAACATTTTGCGTCAAAAAAAGTTGTTACATATCTTTCCAAAAAGCTATAAGTTTTCACTAACATCATATTTCCTACGCAATTCCAAACAATGCTAAAATGTAGCTCTGATACATTCCGTTCCACTGTAACCTTATATCGACTCCGATTGCCATGGAACTTACCGATTTGCATATTCAAAATCTTTTTATATCACGTACTCAACCCTCGGTAAATAAAATTAGAAACGTTGGGATAGGAGAGATTTATTAGTAGATATTACTTTAAAGTACACGATTATCTTAATAATATCATTTAAAGAAATTGATAGCTATTTTTTTCACTGTTGGATTCATGAACTAGTTCTATAAATAATTTGAAAAAATTGCATCAACTAACTATTGTTGACCCCATATATATATACTATTATTTATCTTTACAAAAAATAATAAGCACAATCACTTTTAAAATTTATCTGAAATTTTCAACTAATTACTTACCTTCAAATTCTATATAGTATAACTATTTTACCATGTAAAATGTTATCACATATCGATAGTATGGCAAGTGAAACTACGTCGCAATATTTTATTCTCTAGTAAGTTTTTCAATATCAAATTTAACAGGGATAAAATGCTGATTCGGCAGTTAACCGTACTTTCTTCAAATGACATTTGTTTCGTTTTAAAAGGAATAAAGAAACTTGGACTGTTTACAAACATTACAGTTATCCATCATCTGATAAAAGAAAACACATAACATTTTATTGTTGCTTAAGAGCTGTACATCATTAGATTATGGCACAAATTCAAATCTAATAGTTTGTAGTAGTAACTTTCAAAACGTTACCATCGAAATACGTACATTTCTTATAATACAAATTATGAAGTTTAACATGTTAAAAATTCTGAAAGCAAGTTATATGAAGTGTTATGGTGTACATGATACGTTTAAATACTTTACTAAACTCCAGGATACAACTTGGCCAAAATGGAAAAGCAGGCAAGGTCCTCACTAATACAAACTTGTGTTAATTCAGTTAGTTTACACACTGATCTTGTCTAATACTTCGACCTTATGATGAATTAATAATAAAAAAAAAACTGGAAAGATTTTAAATATAACTAGAACTGACTCGAAAAGCCACACATTTTCTCAATACTTGAATATATCTATTATTATTACCACAAAAAACAAAATAAATGTGTGTTATGTATAAACATATTTCTTTAATTTTTTTTGCAAGGCAGGAATTCTAACGTTATTTTGTAAACAAAAACGAATGGGACATAACTAATCTAAAAAAAGGCTCAATACACTGTTCTAGTCACTTAGAACCTTTGGAAGAGACGCTGACACTGGATATAATTCTCGTGCTTCCTTCTAATATTAAATGCATTTTTGAAAATAAATCCATTTTATATAATATTTTGTTTCAAAATATTTGTTCCATAATATCATGTCTGTCTTTTTTACACTTCATAAACGCCACCGCTTTAAACACGCTGAACCTTTCTTGGACCATTCTTCTACACTTGCACATGCTTCATCAAATCCATGGGAAGCAGCCAATCGACAAGCACCAAGGTAAGCCATGTGATAACGATAAGGTGAGGCATGAACCTTAAACAAATATTATAAACCAATCAGTTGATAGCAGTGCATTATTTTCTTCAGTATTAGAGCTTTACAAAAAACAACTTAATACAATTACTTTATGATGTTACTTGTCGATGAGAAACAAAGTTACTTTCATTTCAATTGAAATGGAAGTATCACCTCACAAGAGGAGCGTTAGGAGCCTCCAAGTAAAATCAACACTTACAATGTGTATCAATAATGTTTTTTTTTTCGATTTATTTATTAATGTTCGTTTCAATTTTCTTAACTGTCCATTTTTATTTCACTTTCTGCAAGACATTTCTGTAACCTACTTTTCGTGGATACTTCTGGCCGATATCACTCTACCTGAATATCAATGTCCTATTATTTTTTCCTCGAATTATTGTATATCTAATTACATACAATTTTAAGCATTCTACACTTGGTGATGTATTGGTTGTATACTAGACGGCCTAGTTTTTTCATCTTATTGTGTTTTTAGAATATGGATAGTGAACCCTCTAAACAAGATTGCCAGTACTACATTGTTTTCCTTTCCAATATTCCATCAGTGATAGTAATTTTATTTTTATTTTCTCACAGCATTATAGTGTTCTAAGGAACAATACCAGTTTCTAACAAACCCATGTAACTGTGATGCATACCTTAGGTACAACTGTTGGAGGAGTCAGTCTGCCTAATTCCGTCTCGAGTCTCTTGGTAAAACCCGGTAATAATGTAACTCCACCACTGAGGTAGATGTTGCGAGCCATTTCTCGTCGGATATCCATGCTACATGCCCGAAAGGCACGGTAGACCAGGTTATGAACCCCAGGATAGTCCACACCCCATAATTCTGGGGTAAAAAGGCCCTCTGGTGTTTGAAACCTCCCAATATCCAGAGAAATACTTCTAATGAAACAAAAGATTGCATAAAGTATTATTTTTGTTGTTGTTATGGCCCAAGTATTTAATACGTATATTACATAGTTCATTTAAGAGAAAAACAAAATACTGATTCATTAATTTCTGGTTTTATTAAAGTTTTTTTTTTCTTATGTCAAATTGTAAGAAGAGTTGTACTTTAATGAATCAACAATAGAAAACACTCAATAATTTCAACTAAAACATTGTAGACCACATTTCAAAGTATTCTGACATTATCAAAGTTCCCAGCTATTGGACAAAATTTCTCGACATTTTTCCGTTATCAAAATGTGGCAAAAGATTGTTTTTAAACAAGCATCTATTCATCTTTTCTCCGTTTTAAACCATTAATCATCTCTTGCTTAAAATCTCTTGAAGTATTTGATAAGAGAAACAATTCGCGACTGTTTGAACAAACTCTCATCTTCATAAAACCGCCAAACAGATGAAGTTCTCAAGTGTGTCATTTTTTTATAATTTTACTTTTTGCTGGTAATCAAGCTTTATATATGTTATATATATATACCCTCCTTCAAAGTATAAAAGCACAAACTTAAGGCAATATTTCTTTTTTTTACAGACAGAATATCTCTATTGAAAACACAATGTGTTTTATCAATTTACTTGTAATTGTTTTAAGAGTTACAAAATAAATAACTATCACCTTTTATAATTAAACAAATCTTACTATAATGGACGTAGCCTGTATTTCAGTATCAATGCATGTAATCAAAACTCCTTTGTCATCTATTGAATGGCACCACAAACAAGCATCCGTAAAAATAAAATAAAAATCACCCTGTGGGTATTCAAGATTCAGACAATTAAGAAAATAACTGTGGTATGTGCAACAACCATTTCTATATAATAGAACACAATTTAAATAAAAGTACTCTCCTCACAACACGAACACGACTTTCACTAGGACTGTACGTGAAGGTTTGATTATATCTATATTAATGTGATTTTTAAATTTAGTATTGAGAAATTGGAGTCCTTAAAAATACTATTATTTTTTCAATAAGCAGCAACACTTTTAATATATAAAAACATTAGAGTTTATATCAGTAAAATGTATGAAAATTGTGAGTTATGTACATTGAATCATTTTGATGCAATGAGTTGCGTATGACTAAAGAGCACAATCTAAACACGTTTTCCGTGCAATACTTCCCAGAAAAAATCTTTTTTTTAGAAAATGTTCTCTTTTCTAACTTTTTTTTTAACAAAGTATAAATACTACGAGTAGTAATTACTAGCACAAACCGTAGGGTGGCGTGTCTGCTAGTATATTTAACTATTCAAATATGACAATAACTCAACTACAAAACGGCTCGTTCTATCAAGACAAAATTACACAGAATTAGGTTTACTACAATTGAATAAATGTTAATAAATAAATATCAATGTTAACTTGCACAAACGTTGGGATCCTTTCTTCCCCTCGGCTTCTTTACGTAATAACTGTCCATACACGACGTGGATTTATCATCCAAAATATTTCTTATGCCTAGTGCTATACGTGAATGTCTCCACTTCACTGTGTCACTTCTTATAGTTCGCGGCACAGGCCCCAACGTATACCTCTCAGGACTTGACTTGCAATATTCTGGGACAACAGCTTTACTATCCAATATTATAGATTCTTGAAGTTATCGATTCCAAGACTTATAGAACACACTTAGATTCTTCCGTAGGCTCTTAACTCTAGCAAGTCCAGAGAAATTGAACGTTATGCTTGTACGCACAAACGGTAACTGTCTCCACTACCAAACGCTACAGCAATCATTGTCAGCAGTTGAAATGGACAAACAAAACATCAAACACTAAAAACGGTCTCTCGTTGGTCTCTCGGCCTTTAGATACTTTCTGGATCCGTTTCAAACTTTCTGGGGGAGACTAGAAGTCACGTGCTGCATGTCAAGGTTGTAATATTTAATGAGATGACGTCACTATGTCATATGACACAATACGGCAAGCAAAATAATTATAAACTTATTACTCAGAACTTACAATAATTGAAATAAAATATATTAACCATTGCACAAAATATACACTTTAGTTTAAGACATGCTGTAAACAAGGTAATATTAGATACACCACGAGATGGTCGAAGACACATGTGAAAAAACATACAGTTCAAGGAAACTGAACAAATAGAGTGTATCGGAGCACATCTTAAATCGGTGTGACGTAGTCGTCCATTCAACTTATTTTAATATCTTAATTAATTAAGGCCAATCATGAACAAAGCCTCAGTTTCAGAGAGTTTGCTCATTGGTATGCAGAGGTCTCAACTTAACCAAGTCAGTTCAGCATATAAATTGCTACTTATGTTATAACGATAACTAAAGTACGTTCGTCTAGTTAAGTAATTGTGTATGTTTTCCTCTGATTTATTCAGCTGACCCCTTTCTAAGGTTTTCAGAAGTACCATAATTTAGATATCTTAAGAATATATCTTCGTATCAATGTTGTCCAAATGCTACAATAGCTAGAGCAGAAATGTATAAACTAAGCATTTGAAAAAAAAAAACTTACTTTTTTATATCATTGATTGATATATATTTTTCTCATTTTTTTCAAGTATACTGATAACAGATAACAGAAGGTGCTGTAACTTTTTTCCTGGTTAGAAAATGTGTTACATAATATACAGTATTAACTTTTTAAATATAGATTTTTTAATTGTAAATGAAATAATGATATGAGTTGCATTTTTGCTAAGGAGGTATGTTAATAAAACACATGTAATGAATAAAAACTTACTCCCTCGGAAATTCAGTTTGGAAGAACTGCTTCACGACCAAAGTTTTCTCCACGCTTTCCGGATTTTCGCTGAAATACTCCAGGTCTTTTTTATAATCATGAGATACAAAACAAGTTTGTTCTTGGATATAACGTATCAAGTAGGTTTCGATATCACTAGTTAGACTGAAACAAGGAAAAAAAACTGTATTTAACATTAGAGAATCAGTAAATACTTTGTGGATTTTTCAGTATAAAAAAAAGATACAGAAACAAAAGGCAGGGAAGCAAATCTAACAAGATTCTCACCTAACATGTTTCTGTGTCAGTGCTTGTCGGAGATGATGGAGAATATGTTGTCCACCATAGGGTAATCTGGTAACACCATTTTCAATAATATATCCTAATAAAAATAAGTATTGTTCAAATGATTATAGACGAATCAGTAGATACAAGTAACTACAATTATTCAATAAGTGCAATGACTAAATAATATTGGCAACAATTTTTAATACAATTTTAGAAAAAATGTTGATGTAATATATAACAACTTTCTTAAAACACAAGTACTGGATAGACTTATTAAAACATGCAAGATGGTTTGGCACTGAAATACCCTCAACACTGTAATTAAATTTTTACTTTTAAAAGATCTTACACAGAAGGTTGAGAACATTATGTTAACAATATTTTGGATAGGCAAATCAGCAATTCCCATGACGACCATAATCGATTGAGATGCGGAGGAATGGCATGTGTCAGAACTACATTGGCACATTGTTTGCCATTACGCTTTTGGGAAAGGTATAGAACAGACCTTCCCGACGCAAAATATTTATAAAGCTATGTTGAGATCAGGGACTTAGGATTTTCAAGACGGTGATATCATTTGTACTGAACGGTTTTGCAAAACAAAGGAATATGAATCAATTTCGGGGACCAGGACTTTCTAGAAAAGAACCAGCAACAAGTCCTACCCCAGCCGTGGTAAGCAAAGTGTGGTAGCTTGTAACAGGTGAGATTCACAAACACAACGGGAGTGGCAAATGCCATCCCAGTACTCCAGGAAAAGTGACACAAGACACGGTACATCAACTGTTTCAAATATATATCTGTTCAACTATCGCATACATTAAGCAACTTGAGAATGAAAGAGGTATATTCATATTATTTCATACCAGTAGTTGGACGCAGCGCCTATGGATTTTTGTGTGATCAAATAGTTGAAACTGGCATTAGGAAACCGTCATCCTTGTACACTACATAGAATATCAAAGCCTGCGGGGAGGAGTGGCTTGCTTTGGACATGACAGACATATGACGGAGCCTTATGGAATAAAAATTACCCTGCAGGATTAGTGTCAAGACACACGGTCTTCAGACAGAGCATGACTGGACATGGTGACATGGACTATAACAACGTGGTGAGGCTCCAAAATCGTTTTAATGTAATTTACTCAACTTCTATGTTTATATTTTATTTACGTCAACGTTAGCATGCTACTAATACTCCTAAACTTGTTTGATTTAACGTGCTCTCAATCAGAAGTTATTATAAATTCTCGTATCACATCAATTTTGTTCTCCACAATGAGTTAATATCTGTCCATGATGAAAATAAAATTAAAGGTTTGCCGTTTCCTTAGAGATGTAGAAAATGTCTTTTTGTTACCATAGCTAATTGGAATAATATCCATTCCACCTCCGATATCAACAACAATTCCGGATGCTGTGTTATAAGCATACAAAGCCAATATCGCCTGATGAGTCAGATTGACTCCAGACACACCAAATCCGTCAAACAGTGTCCTGAGAATAGCAGCTTGACTTTGGAGACTGAAGGTACGAGGCATAGAAACTTGGACCTGAGAAAACAAGAATTCGTTGTGGATCTTAAAACTTTAGAAATATATTTTAAAAAAATTCTTCAAAACGTGAGAAAAGTAAAATTGTCAATAAAAACAACAACATAACATTTGTACATGGTTAACTAAGAACATATTTATCAGAATAAAGTAATAAATGGAAACGAACTTCAATACAAACGGAAAATTAGCTTAAGTACATCGGCAGAACTATTTTTATATACTTCTTACCCAACAAGAGGAGACGTTCTAAACAAATGATTTTATTAAAAAGTTGAATTCTATCAAAAATGCTATATTATTGAATGCTTTTCTTCCATGCTCTTCAAAAACAAGTCGTTGGTCTATATTATACGAACAAACATTTAATGTAACTGATCATTTATGAGAACTTCATACGATACTGATGTAGAGCACTAATTTATGCGCAAGGTAATGAGTAAGCAGGCTTAACAAGAAAGAATGAACTTATCCATAATTAACAGATCCTGTAACTAAAGAGAGAATTTTCTGGAGTTACAAAATCTAGTTATAAAGGAAGGTTTTAAGAGTTAGTTAATGCTTTACCTTGTACTGTCTTGGATCTATATTTAACTCTTGGAAGATCTTCTTAAAAAGACTTGTAAGTTTTTCCTCATCCATAATGCACTGCAAGAAAAATCTTCCAAATTACTAGGTTTTTAACCACAATTGTTAAATTTTACTATGAAAACAAACGTACAGCGACTTGATTCAAACCATCTTTTGTTTCTGTTAATTACGTTTCATAAGTGTAGGAATCATACAAAAAATAATAGGTTATTATGTTATCCCGGAATGTATTAAAATTATTAAAACGTTTAGACTCAGTACCCATCATACACACGAACTGCTAACTTTTCGATTATTTTACTCATTTGCTTCGATAAATCATTTAACAAAACAAAAACACATAGAAGGTTCAATCACTTAGTTTGAAAATACATACAGTGAAATACTAATTTCATAATCTCTTTAATTAACATAACATGTAACGCCATCTATCAGTTTTCTGTAACAATAAACTGTATAGAAGTGATTTGATATTTGCTACCAGTTCAAATAATGCACAGATTTTAAATCTTTATGTATATCTAGTAAGTTTTAATCCAATAAAATTTACGTGACTAATTTGATCCGTGGATCCTGCTACATTTTAATTTTGGTTGCATATTTGAATCAGTTTTAGGTCGAGTTTGTTTTTCCCGTATTTTCCCTCTGTTTGTATTAATTGAGAGCAATATAAGTGTAAGCTAGCAAACAAACATGACAGTTTGCAATATGTAGGCTAGCAAACATACAAGACAATTTGCAATAGTAAGCTAGCAAATAAACAAGACAGTTTACAATATGTAGGCTAGCAAACATACAGGACAGTCTGCAGCATGTGGGCTAGCAAACAAACAAGACAGTCTGCAGTATGTGGGCTAGCAAACAAACAAGACAGTCTGCAGTATGTGGGCTAGCAAATAAACAAGACAGTTTACAATATGTAGGCTAGCAAACAAACAGGACAGTTTGCAGTATGTGGGCTAGCAAACAAACAAGACAGTCTGCAGTATGTGGGCTAGCAAACAAACAAGACAGTTTACAATATGTAGGCTAGCAAA